CTCCCCTGCAATTATTTATGTTTGATTTTAAAGAAAAGTCAATTTCTCCATGATTTCGGGGCGTATGCAAAAAAGGGCAGTACATGATGTGACTACAAGACAAATGATACCTTACATTCAGTTTACAGTCTCAAGTGAAAGCATATTCATTGTGGAAATAAGAAATGATTTGATTAAGGAAAAAAATATATCTAGATGATACCTACATCATGTGACACAAAAATACCCTGTAGAGCAGATCTCTGGAATAGAAAAGGATCTCAGACTAGTTTCCTAAAAAATCACAGAATCACAGAATCGTTTAGGTTGGAAGGGACCTCTGGAGATCATCTAGTCCAACCTCCCTGCTCAAGCGGGGTCCTTTGGAGCATATTTCCCAGGATCACATCCAGACGGGTAGAGTATTCCCAGAATACTCTTTATTATCTACAGACCAAGACAGAAAAAAATAGAGCTTTACAAATACTAATCATTCTTAATAATCTCTCAGGAATTGTGTAGCTTTCCTGTTTAAATATACTTCTGTGCGGAATACTCAAAGATGAATAAATACTGCAGCATCCTAGTATTTCATGACCTGAAGTAACACTCTCAAAACAGACATATTACCATTGTGCTTTATGATACAAATATGTTCATCTTTAGGATAAAATATTACATTGTCTTCTCTCATGTTCTGGATTTAAATGCATCTGTACTGATGATTCGCAAAAGAACTTGTGAAAAGTGAACTTAAAAAAAATAATGGTTCCCTAGACAACACAACCAGAAGAGCTGGTAACCAGCTTTCAACAAAAATGGCATATTTCATGAGGACGAATGCGTGTGCATATAAAGTAGCATTTGTAATCATCTTCATCATAACCACTTATCAACAGCACCGTGGTACAAAACAGATATGAGATTTAGCAAGTTTCATTTTCTTCAGTCTTTTAAGACACTAACAAAGTATGTTTTATAATACAATTGTGCAGTCTATTTATGTAGCATTTTTAAGTGAAGGACTTCTAAGTCCATCAAAACATGAAATTCTGGTAAGTGCAGGTTCTACTTTCAGCCAAACCACGACTTTACCTGAAAAGGCCCTAACAGGAGAGCAGGGATACCAGAATCTATCCAATAAGCATTTATTAAACCCAAAAATTCATAGAGCTGATTTTGGTTTGAGTTTTGACAAAAAGATTGTGAACTGATTTTGAAGTTCATTTATTTAGGACTTTTTGAAAGAGGATTTCCTACTACCTTAAGCTTTTGCATGAAATTTAAAGCAAGATGATGAGAATCCTTTTGCAATATAACTGATTTACGTTGTTCAAACAAAAAATCCCAGCTATTAGTCAGCATTAGCCAGGAAAGATCCATAATTGAAGTATCTGTGATGTCAAATTGATACGGCTATTAATAATAGAAAAGATCAAGAGGCTCTGATCTTGATGAATTTCTCATTGTTCCCCTTCTAAATATATTTAACCTCTAAAAATATATAATACAATTGTCCACTATGATCATGCATTATCAAATCTCTTGACAAAAATAAATAAATAAATAAATAGGTTAGAAACACAAGGCACCATATATATTCCAACCAGGAGGGCAGGCGCAGGGTATGGACAGGATTAATCCTACTACAGATTAAGATATGTAGGAGACTACCTAAAAAGGATCAGATCCTTTGCCATGAAATAGATAGATGTAAATAAAGGTACTTTTTGGCTTTCCTAAACTAGACATAGCCTTTACAAGCATCCCTATGTTATTCCTTATTTGTGTAGCAAACGTGAATGACATCTATACTCTGCAAAAAAATCAACAAGAATATTCCCCGCATTCATATGGATTGCTCTATCCTAGATCATTTTCAGTAATGAACGTATCATTATTTCATTAGATACAGGGACTGCACTTAACATGACAGAACTTCAGATCAGAAAAAGGTTTTGTCCAGACTGAAACAAATATTTGAAAAGTAGGTTAGTAAATACATCTGTGGTAGTAAATACAGAATTAAATATAATTCAGTTAGGGAATTCTGAAGCTTATAAAGATAAAGAGAAAATAATTGTGACTTACTTGCACACTTTTTTTGGAAACTAAACCAGAAAGCATATAGTTTCATCTTTAATAAGTTATATATTGTAAAAAAAATATCCCACTACTTTGGGGGGAAAAAAAAAGATCCTCTTAAAAACTTTGCATCTGATATTGTCAAGGTTATACATTTATTTCCATGCAGTTGGGAAGGAGAAAATAAGACTGGCAATACACACAAAATCTGATTACTAAGAATCAACCTTGGCTTCCTCTGTAAAACAAACAATGCAACTATCCTCCTGATTTAAAATTAGCTTTTGCAAATACCTCCCTAAGATGTTAATGAGCACGAAAAGTCCCATTTTTAAAAAATATTCCATTTTTTTCACATGAACAAAATGGATTAAAATATTTTTGGCTGAGAGTGATGTATTTCTGAACATATTTTAATATGTTTCATTAGGATCAGTTGAACAACCTGAAGAACACAGTCACTATCACTTGCGTCCTGCCACTTTCTCTAGGTCAGCCGCAGGCAAAAAGCATTTACAAAATGATGGTAACTGAAAACACCTTGAGTCCTGCTATTCATGGCAGCAGTACTCACTATGAACACCAGTGTTATGACTGAATAGATTTTTGTTCTTATTCTGCTTTTATGCTCCAATATTAAAAAAAAATATAAATTCATCTAATCACAGAAAACACTTCCATAGCTAATCTCTGCAGGAAAAGGATTTTTTTTTTCTTCCTGGAAAGTCTTCTTTAATCTTATTATAAACCTTTGAAAATGAATCTGTAAAACACTGAACGTTACCTGTGGTTCTTACACCTCAGTAAAGATGATATTGCCTATGCTCCTGCGGGTGGCATGCAGGAAGAACTCAGAATTTTTCACTCAGATTTTTATGGATTAAGCAGCATAGCGAACTGTCACAGTGTTGATGCTCAAAAGCATCACACATTATCGGTATATTAAATTTGCATTTAATAACCTTATCCTTTAAGTCAACTCTTATGAAACAGCATCCAGGTAAACAAGCTTTGTACAGTTTAGCTAATAATATATGGCTCTATTATGGCTCAGAAAGGCACTGATTGGAGCATGTAGGTCATTTCTGAAAGCATGAGAGTAGCTCCAAGTCCTCAGAATGCTAAGTAAAAAAGAAGATGAAGGGTTGTTTCAAGTTTCTGCCATACTGACAAAATAGGTATTATCCTTGAATTAGAGACTTACGGGTCACAGCAGTTCACTGTGGACAAAAAGAATTTCTTAGTTTATACATCTCTATTCATGCTAACACTTTTCCTCTGTATAAAAAAAAAGTATCTAAGTGAGCCAGGCATAGAAGTGTTGGCAGCACAAAAGTGATGTACTTAAGTTCCACATGCAGAAATGCTGTTCTACAGACGTGGCAATAACACATATATCCTATTTCCACTGTTTACGAAACCTCATGTAGCTAGAAATAAAAAAGCTCATGCAAAGAAACACACTTTTTTTTTTGTTTTAGTATTTCTTTTATTAGCAAATAAGGTAATAAAATAATTCACTCCCCACTGCATGAAAGCTAATCTGATGCAGTCTGTATTTGAATATAAATCTAGTGGTTATGTGCTGAAGAAGCTTTCAAATTTCAATAGCAGATATTTTTAACTCCTCCCTTCCACAGAATTTGCAGACATTTGGCATCATTTTCGGAGAATGCTATACTTTCATATATAAAGATGTAATTCAACCTCAAATTTTTGTCAAAGTTCAACTTAAAAGCCATAAAAATAATAGCAAACAGTTGCAACTTTTAGCATTTAGCTATTAGGACTGAAAATTTTGAACCTAAAGTCAAAGTTAAGTGCAATGGTAAAAGACCAAGACACAAGAGTCTGAATTCATTACCTGCTAACTTATTTCAGCTTCCCTCCAACAGACAGATCTGGGTAAATAATCAATTTGTTATATAGCATTCTGAGAAATTTATAAACAAGCTCTGGACAAAGCTTCAAAAAATATATTTATTCAATATTATACTTTCTTCCTCAGCTAAAAAATATAACTAATATAAATATTTCCGTCTCCTTGACAAGGTATTTTCATGGACAAAAAAATACAGCATTACAAATTTTAGAATAGCATTTCAATTTTAAAAAGACTACACTCACTGATAAGGACAAGAACTTTTAATGTGAAAAAATACAGTATCACAGTAAAAGAGTGCAAATCTTTTATTTGTTGTGGCTAGTGTTAAGAGTTCAAGTCCTGTAGAACACTACAGGAGATATGCATTTGAATCCTAAAACTAGCAACCTTGCAAGCATTCAATTAATGTGCACAACTATTAAGTGAACAACATAGACTGTAATTTTTTGGGTACAAACTGGATTCATCTCCCAAATAAATAACATGAAAAAAGACATTCTCAAATTTCTGTAAGCACGATAACACAAGCTTTCACAAATCTCACAATAAAGTCGTGCTTTGAGGCAAAACAGATCTAAAACTGAACGACCTCCTCTAAACAAGACAGTTATCTTTTACCATGCAAGGACAATTCCATTTCTGACATGTTTTTGAATTCTATCCAGAACACCTGTATATTTTCTTCACAAAAGTAGATGTAATTCCACTGGCATTTTTATTTTGATATAAAGAAATTGTGACAGCATTCCCTTAGATTTTGCAGGATGTCTATAGCTGCGCTTTGACAGCCATCAAGCTTCGTTAATTTTCTATGTACAATCTATTCAAACCAGTTTTCTTTTAGTAAAAAGCACACAGCATCATCAAACCCATTTTGGTACAGCAATTCCATTTTCTCCATGTTTGGTGGGAACAAAGCTTGATTAAGTCTTACTAGGTTGGCCAAAGACAGCTGCAACAGAGAGAGGTGCTGTGAATTAGTTTATTAAAAGAAATCATGATACACTTGACTGTATTGCTATCTGTCCCATCATCTGTTTCATGAAGCATATGTAAAAAAGGGCCAGCATGGTTATGTCCACACCAGTAAATTAATCATGCCCAGGAACATTACTGAGCACTGAGATGAACTGGCACAAACAGTCTGCATCTACACTAATAAACTCACAGCCTCCAATACACACTGTCTGCCTGTAAAACTGCCCATGGTTTCTGAAACACATTCCCAGAACTGTTTGGGGGAGTGGTAGCTGTCACATGCTAAACTTGTCCCAGAAAATATTTTGATAGTTTACTAGTGCCAAAAAACACGTTCTTGGGAACAGTCCAAGGAATTGTTTAATATATGAGTATAAACATAGCTTGTGTTTCCAACAAATTAAGAACTACTAAAGTTCTCAATTGGTCACTTTCATGTAAAAAGGTTTCAAAGTTTGTTCTTTCATAGTGACAGGCATTAAATTGCTTAAAACAAATTGCAAATATTATTAAATTTAATAAAGATCCGGAAACTTCATTTATACTATTAACTTAAAATACACTTGATTATATACAATTTTGCAACATAATGTCAAAATCATCTCCATTTTTTGAACTAAGTAATTATTCAAATTCTGCCACTAATGAGTGGAGGAGATCCAAAGAGAAGAAAAGATTGCTCGCATTACAATCTAGATAAGTAGCAATATATACAACTCTCCAAGCTATGCAGATTTGGATACCGCGGCAAAATTTGTTCTTATTTCAAATTTTTACAGCTCTAAAAGCTAAGGGTATGTCAAATAGAATCATTTAAAATGATGCCTGAGATTCTGCACCAAAACTCTGCAGATGCGATTCAGAGAAAAAAGATAATTTGGCAAATAATTTTCTATCTCAAAATTTATCAACTCATTTTTCTCCTCTAGATGGGTATTTGATGCAAATCACAATCAAGAACTATTGCTATTACATGATGCATGTATTTCAGTAAAATTATGAATTTCATATCTCATGATCATTTACCAAATATTATCTTGCTTAAATCCCTGTGAAACTATAGAAAAATTCAGAAACTGGTTCCATTTAGAATGACATTATGTAACACTAATTTTATTCAGAATTAATAAAACACATTAAGAACGATCTAAATGAAACTTCAAAAAAGTGTAGCAGGTAATGAGAGATTATTGCTACGCAGGTCTTTTTTTTTTCCTTTCTAATAGAGTTTTGTTGAGAACAATGCTAGATTGACTGCTATTCAATATTTTCTTTCACTATGTGAAAGGAAACAATACTGTGATTAGAGTTTGCGGGAAAAAATTTGCAAAGACAGAAATGCCAATAATGAAAAAGAGGTCAAAAATAATCAGTCTTAGCCCAATGTTTCAATATACAGAAACATTCTTGAACATCTAACAAAACAATTTCTGAAAGCGTTGTGGTCACAACATTCAAAAACGTAATATGAACTCTCTTAAGCAATGAGGTGACAAATCCTTTTACACCATTTCACACGTGAAGCTTATATTCATCTTTTAAATTCAGTTAGGGCAGTTTATTTCAGTAAGTAAGGACTTACGAAGGACTGTTCTGGAATTTTCCTCTCCTGAGGTCTTCTACAGACCTCTTATTTTTCCAGAAAAACTCTGCCTAGTCAAAGAGATGATATTTTAATCAAGCCTACATTATTTAATAGGATTAAATTTAAGAGTCTGTGATATACCTGCTCGATTTTGTACCAGATCAAAGGTTTTCAAGTTTTCTTACAAAATTTATTCTACATTTTTCCTTCCCCTGCATTTAAGGACAAGTAACATTCCATATACACAACACAAAGCACCAAGATATCACATTACTTAACCATGATGTATACACAGAAAATAAACACTTAAAAATTGAGCACAAAGTTAGCTGCTTAACTACCTTTTCTTTATCTGAAGTTATTTAACAAACAAGGAACTCACCATTATATCTTGTTTTGCAAATTTAACATAAAGATCCATACGTCCTTTATCTTGTGGACAGATATCTAATCGACCACTGAAAGGAGAAATTGTCACTGTTCGTCCCACAGGCAAGATAGGAAGGCCATTGGTAAGGCCACCGTCAACCCATTTCTATCAGAAAATAAAGACATTTTCAAGGTAACCTTAGTATAGTACGATCGTAACTGAATACTTCATCCTTCCTGTCTCTGCCTCCTCCACCTCGCTCTCAAGAAAACTTACAAGTTTCCTTCTCAGAATACCATGAATAAGCAGCTTGAATAAGCCATAAAGCAATGAACGGATAATTTACATATATAGCATATAATCAATGAGTGTTTGACATACTCTACAAACAGCTTCCCAGATCCTTACATGTTTTTTACCTCGTTGCTGATACGGCTTGTTCAATCTATTAACAATATGTGCTATAGAGCTTAAAAAACAAAGAATCTTTCACCTTAAAAACATAGATTTTTTCTGAACGCACACATGAAAGGACAGAATTATTAATACTACACCTGAAGCATATTAGATAACGTGTACTCCTCTAAAACACTACTTTTTTGCAGACTAGGAGCTGGACAATCTGTATGTGAAGGTAAACTGACTGAACAAGCTAAAACAAACCTCCTTCATCACATCTCCTAGAGCTTCTTGCTTTTTTGCACACAAAAAGCCACCAACCACAATGAAAGATAGCAACAGCTGAAAAGAGAGGAAGATAAAGTGGGGAAGGAGTTGGGACACCGATAGCACCTGGCAGGGAGCAGACATCAGGTCTGCTACAGGACTTGAGAAGAAAATGGGGAGGAAAAATAAACGAACAAAAACAATGAAGTTCTTTCAGAGTCCCACCTACTCCTTGGATCTACAGGCTGTCCAGATGTACCAGCCTAATCTCAATAGGGACCACAGCCAAGTTTCTTCCCCTCATAGCCAGGGACAGCTGTAAACTTCTCTCAAGTTTTCATCTTCATATACATCAAACTGATTGTGTAATTTTTAGCTAATAGGTTAAGAGTTACACCCTTGAAATACCGTATTAGTAATTTACAGGTTTTGCACAGCCTCAACAGGATACTTACAGAAAGTAAAAAACAACTGCCAAATATGTTTACTTCATTCTTCCAGTATAAAAACACAAACGGAGAAAGTTAAAAATTACAACTAAACTATATTTCTTCGAATATGTTTACATAGGTATTTTCACAGTTTCTTCTTTAAAAATTTTCATAATCATAATTTAAAGTATTTATTAGAATAACCATTATTTTAACATTACATTAAATATGATTCTCTTATCTTCTCTCTAGTATTCTTTATAATATTTCTTTTTATACTTAGATACATAAGTCAAAACTTACCAGCAGTTTTTTGGCTAGATACATCTGTTAACATTGTACATGAGGTCTGGTGATCAGATTAATCTCCTCAAACCTTTACAAATCTACAGTCAAATCAGTTATCCTACAGTCCCTCTACAGTCAAGGAGAAGAAACACTTCTACTGCATGATTCACCTTATCCTAGAGTAGGTATTTACATCTGATTTGAATTATACTGAAAAGGTGCCTTCTTCTCCCCATTAATTAAAGAAAGCACTCTAACTATGTAAGATGTAGACTACTGCAGATACTTGAAGCCAGGCACGATGAAATATACTATGAAAAATATTACAAGATGCATCTCTGTATTTCTTAAGGGTCTAACTTCCCCAAAGGCGAAATGAATACTCCAGGAAACGATCTTCAAGTGTTGCTATTTATTAATACAGAGTACCATAAAAAAAAGGCAAGTTTGACTAGTACTCTCCAGCACCAATCAGGCAAAAGACTGCTTTTCTGCTGTATGTGTTATTCTAAGTTACCATTATGGAAGGGCAAAATAATGCAAGATTTCATGCAAAATTCATACTGAAAATGCCACAGGAATTTAGTCACAAAAGTAGCAAGAAATCATCTCCTGAAAAGGTATACTGTCTGGAAATTGTTCATGGCCTCTAAACTATGTCATCAACTGTTGGCAAGACACTAGTATTCTGTGTAGTGACTAGCATACAGCAAGCATTATCTCAGAGCATAGTATTTGTTCTGCAGAAGCCCCTGAGATTCTCTGAGGTCCATCACTCGGCTGTACAGATCCCTCTCAGCTGGGTCCTCTACCCTAGCTTAAAAAAGAAAAAAAAGCCTTCTTTCCATACTTTAGGTATAGATTTTCTCTCAGTGCTACATTGCTGAGTTCATGTAACCACATGACTTCTTTATCACTTGCCCTTCCTTCCACTGACAACTCCTATACCTGCTGATACAAGGACTCAATCTTTTTTACACGGATATATTGAAACCATCAGGTTTGTTTATTTATTTATTATTACCCCCACTTTCTCACTTTTCTGCCTGCCAGATGCCCACATGACATGCCCCCAGACGAAATTTGCTGTTTCCCACTTCTTTTACGCTCCTGAAATTAAAATATAAGCTACCACTTTTCACGTTCAAGCTATTACTTTCACATTCAATAGTCTTCATGGCCCTGCTCACCCTCTTATTTCATTGTACGTTTTGAGAGCTTGATTCATGACAAAAGCTCCTGATGACTGTAACCACAATCCACCATTTAATTCCTTCACTTTCCAGAAAAAAATCACATTTCTGAATGCTTAGGATTGAGAATGTTTTGTTTTAGGGAAAGTAAAAGAAATCAAAAACCTGCAAAAAAAATCATAAAGCTATCTAAAGCAATGTTTCAAATTCCTCAAATTCCAATACATCATTACTATGACGCCTATGAGTAAATCTGCAACATTGCTAACAACAATGCCTATCAGGTTCAACCCATAATTTATCGTTTCTTGTCTATAAATAGCTGTTATTATTAATTTAGATGTAACATTCCTTGCAGTACAAATTGGCTTTTTCTTCCGATTACTTAGGTTTTTTAGCTTTTTCTTCTCTTGCGTATCTTCAACGTTTTTTATATTGGAAATATTTAATGTCATCATGACAAGGACAGTATTTTGTTCATTAAGCAGTATCTTTTGTAGATTCCATCTGATGCCCTCCATTTCTTTTCTTTCTTTCTTTTTTTTTTTTACACAGTTAAAATAAAAGAAACATTTATATACTTCAAATAAAAAGTTCTAATGTCCTAGCTTCTTGTAATTCTACTAACCAAACCCTGAAAAATGCTTCTTAGCTAAGGAGTCAAATTCCTGGTAACTTCTGAATTAATTCCTTTTTGTAAGCACAGTGCAAAGATAGAGAAAGCTTCTAAAATAATATGCAGTAGAAACCAAGCCAGATACTAAAGCTGAGGATGTAGAATGGACCTTATGGAATCTATGTTTACCAGTAACTGTTGATAGCTTTTACAAAGCCACCTTGTAAGAACTGCAGCATCACGAACTACAGCATCATCATCAGATACAGTCACCTCAATTATCTGGGGATGATTTATCCGGATCAAAGACTAACCTTGCCACAGATTCAGGGGAAATTAAGCCACATGAAAGAAAGGTAATTTTGCATGGAACAAACTCTGTTTGCCTAGACCATTCTACATGAATGTAGTCCTATTGCAGGCAGGAAAAGATTGTTTCAATACACGATGGTATGCACAGAGCCAATTCTATGCATAGCTCACCGCTGCCTCCTGTTACTGGAAACCTAGTCCACAGGCACTTAAACGGCCAACATAAGTGCAGATAGCCCAGTAGTGTAACAACACCAACAGACTGCCTAAGTTCTTGGATGTTGTCTTGGTTGTACACTCCCTTCTCCATCAGATTATTTGCAGGCTTATCAAACCAGAAGAAAATATACTACAAACAGGTTTATGCTGTCTGTGTTACCACGAAGTTTAGCTGGTTCATCTCAGAAGTTTAGTCTCCAGATGCACATACTACAAGTATGCTAGCTAATTTCAGTATGAGCCAAATACTTCCCGCCAGAAGAAAGCTGAAATGCAATGCTGGGAACTGTTCGCCCTGAAGTTCACTCTAGGGAATACTGGCAGGATAACAAGAAGTTTGGGTTTTCCATACAAAACAGTATTTTGATACTGTTCCAGGAAAACTGCACATTCCTTCACATACGATGCAAGACGTACCCCAGATAACATAATGAAATACATAGGAACACCACTCAGATGAGCTGGTGATAGGTATTAAGGTGACGTATGTAGCTTAGAGAAGATGCAGACCAACTCTTCTGAAGCGCAGATGCAGCCAGTAAATAAGCAGCTAGCAGGGAGTAGCTTGATTCCCTGCTGCCATGGAACGTTTGATCTACGGAACTTACTCTCTGAAACTACTGTAAATGCAGAAAGAGGTATCTTCAGTCTATCAAGCTTTCAAGAAACTGGAAAACACTATGCAAATATGATGGGGACCCTTGCAGAGCCAGATTAATATCCAGTCCATCTTCACACAATCACACAACGGTTGAGGTTGGAAGGGACCTCTGGAGATCATCTAGTCCAACCTCCCTGCACCACCACAGTCACGTAGTGCACGTTGTCCAGCACCCTATCCAGACGGCTTTTGAATATCTCCAAGGATGGAAACTCTTGCCTCTTGGGGCAATCTGGTCCAGTGCTCAGTCACCCTCACAGGAAAGAAGTTTTTCCTCATGTTCAGAGGGAACTTCCTGTGTTTCAGTTGGTGCCTGTTGCCTCTTGTCTTCTTGCTGGGCACCACGGAGAAGAGTCTGAGCCCATCCTCTTTATATCTTCCCTTCAGAAACTTACACACATTGACAAGATCCCCCCTCAGCCTTCTCTTCTCCAGGCTGAACAGGCCCAGCTCCCTCAGCCTTTCCTCATAGGAGAGATATTCTAGTCCCTTCATCATCTTAGCGGCCCGTCACTGGACTCTCTCCAGTAGCTCCATGTCTCTCTTGTATTGGGGAGCCCAGAATCGGACGCAGTACTCAAGATGTGGCCTCAACAGGGCTGAACCGAGGGGAAGGTTCACTTCCCTCGACCTGCTGGCAACGCTCTACCTGATGCAGCCCAGGATACCATTGGCCTGCTTTGCCACAGGAGCACATTCCTGACTCATTGTCAACTTCTTGTCCACCAGGACATTTTGGTCGACTAATCTCTGACCCAAACTTTCAATTTCTTAATTGAAAAACAGCACAAAAAGTTTTAACAAAGACACTATGTTCCCTTTAAGTAACAGGAGAATGAACTTTAAACATTCATACACATGCACCCTGTGAACTACAGGAGGAACATACTAAAGATGCCAATCAACAGAAGATCTAAATCCTGGGAACTTGCAAGGCATGGTGATATGAACCCGTCAGACTTTTTAGCTGTTATGTAGTGGTGTATATAATTCGAAAAGTAACAAGTTTTTTGACATGACTCCCTCTTGCTAGCTAGAAATATAAATGCTAGAGATAAATATATGCGAATACTAGGAAAAGGGGCTTTGAGCAGCGTTGCGGGGTGGTGATGGGGAATCTGCTAGGATGAAAGACTTTCTAAAGCATCACTTTGATGCCTCTCAGGAAAAAATAAAGTATCCAATAATAATTTTTAGAAAGGGAAACAACTTGAAGATTTTTGTGCTTCTAATGATTGCAAACAGACTAAACAGTTGAAAAAAATTTTTAAAATGTTAATACATTGAGGTAAGAAATAGAGCTAAACCAAGTAGAGGCAACTATGAGAAGGTTTTATTGTATTAGTGTACACCTCTCAAAATGTCACGACTGTGTGACACAAAAATAATCTTCGTCCAGAGGTACCATTGTTCTTATGTCCTCAACAGAACTACACTGCATACATAGAGATACCAATTTACTCCAGCAATGTCCAGTCTCCCAAGATCAGTCAAGATCTCCTTTACTACTCCATCAATCACAAAAAAAAAAAAAAGTAGAACAGTTCCTCAGTTACAAAGATCATTTTACAGCTGGTAACACAGATTGTCATGAGAAGCCAGGAGAAGCTACTAGGAGAGTAGTTTCAGCACCCACAATTTTATAAGATTAATGAATATGAATGGTATCGACAGGCGTTTACCTATAGCATCAATCGAAGCAACAACTATTCTACTTAACACAGTACTATAATTCCCATCTACCCTTCCCCTGAGATCAAAGTTACCTCACAAAGAATGTTTCTGCAAAAAACTATATAAGTACATAAACATAATGAAAAATTACCTCTCCTTTATATTCCACTGGCTTAATTCCTGCATATACTGGCACAAAACTACTTGCCAGCAGGACCTAGAGAGAAGAAAGAGGTAGGTGTGGAAGAGTGAAGAAAAGGTAATAAAATACTTCTGAAACAACAAATAATTTCATATATATTTATCTCTATTAGATGATAGAGTAGTAATTAATCAACATATTAATTTCATTTAAAACCACTGTCACCTTATTAGCATCCAGTTGTTATGTGATGTAAAAATGTGATTAAAACTATTAAGGCTTTTTTAAATCACTTGGTAATAACAACTCTCAAAGAAAACAAAATATCACAAATCATTTATCCTATTGTTGAATAAAGTGCTTAAAAACATCATCAACTTAGCCTTACACAATGTGAAGTAAATCTATGATTTTATAGAAATCAAATACGCACTTACTGGAAAACATACAATATAGAGCAAAAAAAAGATGTTGAACCAATCACTTCACTGGTATATATATACAGTGCTTTCCTTCCTAATAAATCAGATTTTTAAAGTAATACAGCATGCCCAAAATACTATAAACAGCCTGCAAATTCACATGTATACCTTCATCAGTATCAACACTTTACATTTAGTATGTTCAAGTATCAACAAATTACTGTTTGCCCCTACTGGAAGCCTAGCCTGCTGTCTACAACAGTTCTCAAATTTTTCAGAGTGGGGCATCTCTTCTGTTTCATATGTATGCAAGCACACACACCTCTTCTGCCCACTCATAACAATTTCTCGCTGTGTGAGTGCATGTGAATATTTACATATATATAGTATGCATACTATATATGCATGTGTGTATATACACACACACACACATATATGTGTGTGTGTGTGTATATATATATATATATATATATATATATATATATATATATATATATATATATATATATATATATATATATATATCTGCAGTTAAGTGTATGGCACTTCAAAGAGTGCCATACCCCATCGGGTAGATGTTCATATGAAGTGCAATATGTCAGAAACGTTCATGTGTATAACTGTGGTGCATATACATGGATGCATGAGCTTGCGTGCAGGTAGGTATGAGAGACAAATTTGGGAAACAAGCAGGTCACAGACAGGGGTACATACAGTGTGCAAGGCAATCAGGTGCAAAAGAAATATGAAGATTATGAAAAAATAATGATTAAGCTTTTTAGGTGTAATTACATTTCTTTTTACAACAAATTAAGCTACTTTCAGTATTAAACACCTCTCCTCGACAAACAAGTTCCAAAAAAGGTTCTAAATGAAAGCTTAACTACCAGTTTGAGAACTCTTTCTTGCCCACTTCTCTCCCCAGTGACCTGAAGTGAAGCGAGAGCACCCTGCCTGGGCTCAGACAGGAAGGTGGTTCTTATTTTTCAAATGTGAAACTGGGACAGGCCTTTCCCTCATGCAACCATAAGAAAATCTCCACTTCAACGGAATAAAATGGTACAACAGAAATATTTAAGTCGACAAAAGAACTATTGAAAAATTAGCCAAATATATGCACACAAACACATATATATATTTTATATATCTGCATGTATAGATCTATATCTATTCACATGATTGTTTGGAAGATTATCATTGTCTTCAGGTTAGAAGATTTCACTGGAAAGGAACATAAGTATACAGAACAGTCTATGCTTGTCTCTCCTGGCTACTTTAACTAGAAATATCACAAGGGCATAGTTTCTATTTGCATAACTATCTTTGCATGATTAAATCCTACCAATTTTGAGAACTGATGGGCTGTGTAGAACATAATAGGGTCAAGATTTAAAAAAAAAAAAAAAAAAAGGTATTTTAAAGACAGACTTCTAACGTATATGTCAGATTTTGGTAACGAATACTTTTCTCTCCCCCCACCTTAAGAAGTGTTAATTATCAAACACCTCCCATTAATTCTAAGTGTCCAGAAAGACAGGAAAAGAAGGAATTCCTCTTCAAAGCCTCGTGCTTATTCCATTTCCTCCTTCATTTGTGCTATATTGCCTGATGCCCTCCACTAAAATATAATTCATTGTTAAAATTAAGAGGTCCCAGAAAGGAAGGAACATTTCCTCTAGATATATCCGCATTCTTCCAACCTTTTTACATCAGCAAAAGTTTACAATCCTGATCCAAATTTAAAAAGTGGTACTCAAAAGAAAAGGGATGGGTAGTAAAAGAAAAAGATGGGCTTTCCAGCTGTATACACAGTTTATATACAGGACTTACCATTACAATATACCTTTTCCCCAAGAGGATTTGTAGAACGTGTTTGAAAGGCTTTTTTTTTTTTTTTTTTTTTTAAGATAGGAACTTCCTTTTGCTTAGTTTCTTTTGTGAAAGAACATATTAAAATGATATAAATGATGCAAAAAGACTTACAGAAGTGTTGACCAAATGTGGAGATTCTGGAGATTCAAATTTTTGAGTGAACAATTAGTCTTTTTTTTTTTTTTGAATAGAATTTGCTTACAAAATAGTACTTTAAAAGCAGCTGAAAGAAATACACAACAATTAATTTTAGCAAAGTCCGTACAACTGCAGGATCAAATTCTGCTTCTGTTGTTTATGTAGGTAGCATCACTGTAGTCTAAGTGATTACTTGAGTAAAATGATGATTTACCCAATGGCTAATAACATACTCCTACGCCTTGAAAATGCTCATGCATTTTTATTTAAAGAAGCAATATGCAACTTCATTACCTTAATGAGATCCTCCCTGGAAGCAAAACTTGAAATCAAATAATTTTCCCCATTTTTGGTGTTAGTGATTGACACATAGAGCCGGTTCTCAGCTATCTCATGAGCGTTAGAAGGAAGAATAGATTCTATGCCTCCCCTAAAGTAAAGAAAATGATCAACATTATTCACATCATTAATTAAAAAGCTTGTAAATATTTTAGGGGAGAAAGAAAGAGTGCTCAGCTCCCCAGAGTATGGAAAAAGCATCTGCACTCTTCATTTTCATTTAGAGACCTTCACATAAAGGTGAATTTTAATAGATACATTAAGATAGGTACCTAAGTCTTTTCATGAAATCATAACCAGGTGTTACTGCACCAAAGTCCAATTTTCTAATTTCCTCTGCAAACTCATAGGCAAATTGCTTACATTCCTGAAAATTAAAATATTCACCATTAAGGACGTTTCAGTTATGGAAAGCATGTCCAACTGTAATACTTAAAGCATACTAACAGTTAAACTTTTAATCAAGAGCAAGCTACAAGATCAGACTAAGATACTTTCCCATATATTCTTGGTTTGTAACAAGATATGCATAATAAATTGCTGATCCTTCCAATTTGCAAGAAAACATATATAAGAACTCTAATTAAATTAAATATATATATATACATACATACATATATATATGTATGTATGTATGTATGTATGCACAAGAATACCACTCATTAACAATTAAGGAAAGTTAAAGGCAATTTTGCTATGTATGACCACTGCCAGATAACCAGTTTTCTGAACTATGTCATTACAGGAATGATAATTTGTATTTCAAGTCTACAGACACATTTTACCTTAAACATTACCTCAGTGCTTAAAAAAAATAGACATAATTGCTTCAAGATGACTATAAGCTTTTAAAAGGTTTGCACTAATGCAAAAAATACGCTATTCACAAATACACACATTTAATGAATGTACTGTTATGTGACTAAAACTGATGGAAGGTAAAGGAACAAAGACAATTGCAGAAAACCAGGCTACAGATTCCACTGCACAGAAAACTTCTTTTAAGCAAGCTGAAACAACCAACTTTAATGACTGTGGAAAAATAGTTTGAAATAGGAGCCAAAAGAACTCCAAAAGGAAAGTAAAAGAATATGTAGTGTTTATTTTTTAATAAAAAGATTTTGACACCCTGAATTGTGCTTCTGAACGTGTAAGACTCACTATTCAGTATTCATATATGTTTTTCTACCCTTTCATGCAGATTTCTGCTCTGATTTTACTGACTTGAGGAAAAAAAACTACAATCCAATCTTATCCGACCTTCTGAAAGTGGTTTATTCAATAAATATATTGCACTGATAAGCACCTAATAACCACACATTTACAAAATATAAGAACTGCATATAGGTAGTTTGGGGTTCCTGGCTTATTAACTTGTTGTATGAAGACACACTAAATATGTTCCTTTAACTGAAAGGATTCACATCACTGGCAGGGGGGAGACCAGCTGTTGTGCCCTATCCAGAAGAGAGGTCACAGGACATAACGGCAGGAGAAAGAGGAAAAGAGTTGGGGCGGGGAGTATTACAAGATAAAGAGAACATTGGTTGGAGCAGTGTAACTTCCTCACATCAGTCGTATGTGAGAGCACTCACCTAAGTGACAGAAATGGTCCCTGCACCCACTTTACCTGTATAGCCTTCTAATAAATATATTACAAAATGCTAGTCAGGGTTAAGAGGTCTGTACCGCTTAAAGCAATGATCACTACAGTGGTTCAAGCTAATTCATTTCACATAGGTCAAGCTGCCATCAGATTCTGAGTTAGATTTGTACTTTTACCCTAGAAAGCAGGTGCTCTATTCATCATTGCCGATCCAAAGCAGCTTCTCACTGTAAATATATAAACCTAGCAGTATGCAATAGTCCTTTAATTCATTCCACTTTAATGTTAGGCTTCTTTAAGGTCAGCCAGGAGGAGAAGAGGCACATTCAAACCATAATGCAAATCTTCCACACCTCTCTCTCTAAAAAGAGAGAAGAAACCCACAGATCCCTAAAAGTTATAGCAGCAGCTCAGAACTGCTATCTTTATATCTAAGATACCTTAATAAAGTGACTAAAGTAGCAGGGAAATAAGGGTAACAGAAGCTAGATGAATCCAAACCTAAAAGAATGACAGAAAACTACTCTTCTTATGACAAATGTTATGAAAAATCATACCCTGACTTTCAATTTTTCCTGCCAAAAGGAAAAACTTAGAGTTACGAATTGTTTTATAATTTTTAGTGCTAAAGGCCTTAAACAAAGCATGGAAATTTCAAACAGTGACTGATGACATGTTTAGAAATGGTAACTATTTGTATTGACTTAAGCAAACTTTGAAATCTAACCTGTTCAGGTACTCCTGAATGAAACAGGTAATTATCTGTAACTTTGCAGGCCTCCATACATTTGGAAATGAATCTGTCCCTAGATTTCTCAACTCCCTTGCCTTTTCAACAGCAACAAAAATCCAAGACGCTAGTGAAGGACATTTGCAAGTTGTTGTGATAGAAATGCAATAGTCAAAACAAGACATCCTTGGTGTTAAGACTCAAAGTTCATAAAAGGATATATTACAGCTTTGAGACTGGAACATGCAGAAAGCCCTAATTATAGCTTGTTTAACCATCTCTGGAAAAAAACCCTAACTGTTATGAAAGTTGTATTTGCGGATATCAAATATTTCAACTGTTAGAAATGTTCCTTTAAATATCCACTTGTAGGTGTTTTTTTTTTTTTTTTGGAATAATGGTAATGATATAATTATGCTGATAGGAAAAGTTAATACAAATTTCAAAGAAAGTAAAACATTAAAATGAAGTATTTTCTTTTTGGTAGATAGCACTGCCTTTACTTAAATTCCATGAGAACTGAGAAGTATTTTCCTCCCCTCTACAGAGAGTTCTCATAATTTTCCATTTAAACAATATAGCAGAATGACCAAAAAGCTATTAGAAACATTTTAAAGGGCTAAAAAGTTCATGACACACTCTTCAGTTCATACTAACATGAAGATATTGTCAAGAAAAAAAAAGACTGAATGTAATATGGACTTAATTTCCATAAATGTAAAAAGTAGAAACTCTTATTTTTAAACTTAGAGTATTTTTAACGTAGAAGTTTGACTTGGTAAATAGGACCAGGCTGGGAATAAATGCTCAGGCCCAGAAGTCAAGAATAAGCAGAATAATCTCCTTGAGCTAAGAAAAGGCCAGCTGCTGTGCTCGTCATATAGAAATTAAAGGCAAAGGTATGCATTGTACCAAGCAAAGTTGAAACTGAGCTACTGGTCAAAGACTACAGAAAAGGAGGAAGAGCTGAGGAGAATACAAATAAGGTTCTATTTACAACAGATAATGAAAGAAACAAAAGTATAGATAATTCTGCAAGCTAAGTTTGTATCCTAGCATGGAAAAATGGCAGTGGCAAAATGTGCTCTTGGCTGTGACTATTGTTTACATGAAAAATGGTCCAAGTTCTAACAGTGAGGCCTGATAAAGGTTACCTGAGGATAATGAAAGCTAAGTGTACTTAGAATAAAACTTTATCTAACAGCTTCACTTCCCCAAGTAATGTTGCTTCTTCTAAATATTCTAAATATTAAAGAAACATTTCATCTTAACATTTAGCAAGGCCTGATCTTCTACATATATTAAAGCAAAGTCAGACTATGAAAATAAATCACTTAGTGCCTACTGTAATTTTAAAAAAAAATTTTTTAAAAATCATGCACTCTTAAAACAAATACAAAAATCTGCTAAATAACTGTTGTGTGTTATATACTATACAATGGATTAAATCCTTTAATTTTCTAAAGGTACTTCAGGACAGCAAAGCAACCTGAACCTAAGGAGGAAAAAAACTAAAAGCTACTGCCCTCCTAGAGATTCCTTTATGAAAGAACTACTGAAAATTGCTTTGCTTTGTGACAACTGTGAGATCTTATGGATTATGACACCACTTCCATGGCAAGAAAAGGAAACAAAACACGTATGAGGAATATTACAATAGAACTTTGTTATGGTTAATCCTCCACTGAATGCCAGTGGAGCTTTTGTGCACTGCTTTCCTACTTGGAAGATATAGTCCATCACTTTTATCTCCCTTCATAATATGGATGGTATTATACATTTGCTTAAGAAAGTCTATTAAAACCTCTAGCCAAGATGACAACGATTAACTCTTTGTAATACACAATGGTTAAGGAAAGGACATATACTAGAAATAGAGTACATCTGGTTGCATGTAACTCAACATTCACACACATATGGACTTTGTTTTAAGCTAAGTAAACAGAAAATCCACATGATTTTCTACTACAAACTGAACACAGACTTTAAAGAAATATTTGCTCCATAAACACTTTTTGTCCAGGCTTCACAATTTTCTTTGAGGAAAACACATATGTGAGTCCTGCTCCTTTATAAGAAGCAACAACAAAAATAACAACCAAAATGTTTAAATTAAAAAACTTTATGGTATATGATTAAATCCTTAAAAATATCCTTTGCAAATGATCACATCCTATACCTACAAGTTTATTACTTTACCTCTATATTTTCTGGCACTGCTAGTAAGACAGTGGCAGCCAGTGATCCCGCAGAAGCTCCTGCAAAAGCTTTCACAACTTTCAGTAACTTCTTACCATGCCTGTAAAGAGCAGCTGCTGCCCCCAAGTGGTAAATACCCAGAAACCCACAAGCTGCAAATGACAGGTTGAGATGTTTCATTTTTGCTGTGGAAATAAAAGTTTTGCAGTCAGGAAAAGGATTAGTTAATTCTGTCTTATAACATACATCTATTTTTTGGCACAGAATATATAATATAGCATAATAACTAAGCTGCTTTTTGTTATATATAAGAACAGTGAGCACTTTTGATTACCAAACGCATGAAACAAATAGCTGTTAAAATTTTAGCATCTCCAAAATGGAAAAAAACTGTTCTGAAATATTCCTTAGCACAATGGCTTTTCATATTTCTTGTTCTATCACGAAATAAAGCTTCAGACATAACATTACTGAATATTTCAACTAATTTGTAAAAGAAATGCAAAATAAAAATAGCTATTTAAAGGTGTTAAAAATGCTGTTGGAAATTTTGCCATATTATTTTAAGGAGGAATAACACTGTTAGCCATCTCGAGTCAAAATCAAATTTAATTACAAAATTGCTGTAAGTGTACTGCAAGTGTCATACACACGTGACACGTGCGGCCTTGAATCTAACATAGTTCTCTATAGCAGCAATTTTTTCCTTCATCATTGGAACTCATCTATTTACCAAGTACTATTAGCATTCAATAATATATTCAGTAATTTATATAGAAGTAATTTTTCATTTCAAAGAGGAAAACATACAAGCTATCATTTTAACCTTTAAAAGGAATAAGAAAGAAAAAACACTTAAGTAAAATACACATCAAGTGTACATACACACTCTGAATGTCTCAAGTACAGAACTGAAAATAACAAAAACATAAACAGGAAATTTAAGTCGAGATTGTTAGGTTTTCTGTTTGCCTGTTTTTAAAATAAGACACCTCACTGAGGCCATCTATTTTATTAACTCTACTTCTGCGAATATCTACAATTATATGAGCAAGATATTCTACACTATTTTAATTAATATCTTAATAGTAAATTAAAAATAAACCTCTAGTACATTTAGATATGTATCAATATGAATAGGACTAACTATATCAGTAAATTCAGGAATATACTTGATTGCTCTGGTTCATAATGATAGCTAGATGTTTCTGTTGGCAACCATCTGCAGATACTGTGGTGTCAATTCTAATAAAGAGAAGCAGACACATACAGCAACGGATTTTTTAGGTTGCCTATTCAGCTCAGCAGTGGGAAGAGTAAGAAAAATGAGGGTAAGAAGCAGTTTTGAAAAACACTCAATAGGAGTGCTAGGAGTGCTCAATAGGACAAGCTAAATTCAACTGCTTTACCCAGGGTGTGGTTAGATCAGACCACTAGTGGGCCTTGTTCTCTGCCAGTCCAAGTGGAAGGATTACTGCTTTTCCTTCAAAAAAAGACATACAATAAAAACTCAGCCACCACCTCTTATTTAGAGGACAAGACACAACACATGGAAAAAACAGCTGGTAGTATGAAAGAGAAAACTGAACAGGGCTCATGGAATACATTCAAGGAACTTTCAAGGAATTTTATCAATTTTTCTAGGTCATATTTAACATTAAATACTGGAAATGCAAGCCAATACTCCTACAATGGCTTATAAGGATGAAATTCTACTAAACTAAATGAAAACTAGGACTAGCGTAAATGTCTATAACCTCAGAATGGCTTAAAAACTCAATTTTTCTATCCATAGGAGAGGAAAAAAAAAAAAAAAAAAAAGGAGAGACAGCAACTCTCATAGTGCCAGGGCATACTGTTGCTGGTCATTCCTAAAACCTTACACTATCATAAGGTAGATTATCACCTTTATCTACTTTACACAGGGAAATGTTGACATACCCATCAGCAAATAAGAATACCTGTAACTTAAATCTAAGATATTTTGTCCTGACAAGAATGGGTTTCAGGTTGGTTTTTGGCCTGGGAATAAGAGATAAAGAGATAGTTCATTACTTGCTTCATAGCAGATGTCTGTTATACCGCTCTCAAAAAGAAAGGCTCTTTTATTAAAATAAAAAAAAAAAACATCATACTGCATAGAAGATAAAAAGAGTTTGCTGGAAATTTCCTGGAAAACAACAAATACAATTATATTTTCAAGATTTTAATGTATAATATACAGAGAGTGGAAAAAAACTAAAACAGACTTTGAAACACAGTAGAGTGATTTGCTTCCTGTGAGGCTGGCTAAACTTTTGGAGTTAACCAACTACCATAGCTGCTTCCACACCTTTTGAAAGTTAGGGGCAAACATGCACTTACATCAAGGGGCACTCTGCCGGAAAAAAAAAGAGATGAAGTTATTAGATAGCAAGAAAACTAAGTTTGGGAAAATAACCACTTACATTGCTATAAAAACAATGGGTGAGGAAAAAAAAGTGCGTCCTTTTATCATATAGTCAGAAGGCTGGAATTACCTATACATCTGACATTCTCTTTCAATACATCATTGATTAGGATTTTTTTTTCCCCATATAGCATGAACTCCCCTTTTTGTTCAAAAAAGATTTTAAGAAAACACACTGCTTCTGTGAAATATTATAAAAAATAAAGACCATGTTTACACAGCTGTTTGGTCATAAGACACACAAGAAGAGTAAAAGAGTTCACACATCCCAAGGATTACTTCTCAGGAACCTACGCACGGTAACTAAGAAACACAAATTCACTTAAATAAGCTTATGTGTGCTTCCGTACATGCATATATACATCTTCTAATGTTTCTACCAGGCTCATCTACAAATGATTCTAAAAGGTATCTCTCCTTGCTGTAAAATGTTTAGAGGTCCACAAATCAAAGGAGGAGGAAAACTTTTTTTAAAAGAGTATGTAAATCATAGTTAAAGCAAGACATTTTAGATTAAAAATTTTTTAAAAAAGAAAAAAGCCCTACAGATGCAGAAGATAACCATACTTCAGTGTGTACAGCAATATCTGGTACATTCTCTTTAAAGTAAAAAGAATAGGAAAGGAAATGTCAAACTTAAATCTAAGATCATAAGCTGCTAAAAAAAATACTGAAGTCAAAAGTCCTTTCCTTCTGTTATAACGCTTCTTGAGGAAGATTTATTTTCTTATGTGAGCGTTAGTACTATCTAAGAATCAGCTATTGTAAGTAACCATTTTTTTCTTAAGTGTCTAGACGCAGGGTATTTGCTCTTTAATATCAGTTAATTTCTTAACTAACATTCAGATCCTTTACTTCTCTTCCTTCTTCTTCCCTCCTTCCTCATTTTCCTCAAAAAAAAAAAAAAAGAATATTCACATCAGTTTGTTGACTGACAGAAGGATTCACTCAGAGTGAAACAAGATAAAAGATCACGCAGATTCAATTTAAGGAATACTGTTAAAGCATACTGCTAGATTCACTTGAACTTTGATAGGAGTACACTGTGAGATCAAAAAAGCAAATGTATTATTTTAATGCAGCCCAAAAAGCAGTTGAATAAAACTTTTTTTACATAAGTATTTGATCCACTGGGTAGTCATACACTACGACATTACTTCACAAGTTCCCCAAGCAGATTTCAAATCAAAGCTAAGAGCATAGCTCTCTTATCAGAGCATTACTTTTTGATTAGTTAGTACCACTTCCTAGGCCAAGGCTACATATTATCACATATAAACTGTATCTAAAAATACTTTAGTACAAATCTTAATTGGCAGGTGACATTCAGGTTCAAAAGGCGAACCAGTGGTTACATCTAACTGCAAGACTGAAAAATGGGTTTTGCGCAAGCATTTAACAATCCTTTAAGTGGGTAAACAGTGAGTAAAAAAAAAAATAAAAAAAAATCAACGCACCATAGCAGGGTCAGCTTTGGGATCAAACCAATCAGACAAGGTTGCGACTGGCTTTATCCAGTTGGGTCTTGAAAAACTGTATAACGTTCAACTTTTTAAGGGATAGTCGGTGACTATATCTGGGTGAATTTTTACTGAAAATTCTTTTGTTCAGACTATTACAATTAGAAGAGCATTACAAATTATCATTATAGAAAAGAGAACAACAGAACAGAAACATTTTCATTCAGTGCTGTGTATGTACCTGCAGGGAGGTTCTGTACACCAAACTGAAATGGGGGGGTGGGGGTGGGGGGGAAGCCTGTAACAAGACAGATGACCTACAAAGAAGATAAGATATAGATGAAGAAGAAAAATCACAGTTCTGCAAGGAACTCTGCTTAACAGATGCAGATCCAGCAAAAAGGCTTCTCACTGACAGTTTAAGCAGTCTTGTTTCACCTTTCAGAGAACTGAGTAAGAGGAAAAGATGAAAAAGCATTCATTAGATGAATGCATGCCCTGAGAAATAAGAAAAGCAAGAGATAGGAAACAAATATACTCTGTTTCATAAGAATATAAAGCTTTCCATTTGTTTTGAATTTTGCAAATGCCATGGCAACACTTGATTTGCAAGTTAGAATGGCATATTCTCACAGACAGTACGAGTCAAAAACTTTTTTTGCTCTGATGAGCTTGTAGAGCACTGCTTTTTTGATCAAAAAGAATAGTAGGGTTATAACAATTCTCAAGACACACAGAGAAATTCAAGTCCAACATGAATATTCCCTGACAAATTCTTACAAAATTCCCAAAATGGGAATGCAGTCACATCAGAACGCGGAGCAAGATCCTGTATTTTCAGCTGACTGATCAAACAGCAGAAATCTTGCTATCTTGGAAATAGTACAAAATATCCGTTCCATAAGATTGCAGAACAAAAATTCTTAGAGGATTACATGTAAGTTAAAGATACCTTTAAAGATATCCTCCAGTAACATAAAAGTTACGATACTGATAAGTCTAAGAAGAATTTTTAATGCACTTTACAAGATGTACAAACACCCTTCAGCAGAGAACTAGACAGTGCCTGCTCTGTAGAGATACGACTCCTGCAAGACCTAGCAAATACACTGGCTGCAGCTTTGCAAGACATTGTTAATTACATGACTGGCAAATTTGAAAATCTAAGGTTTTCAACTGGCTAACAGGATAGGCAGGAAATTGCGGTCTACCAAGAAAACTAAAAGCGTAAGAAAAGCTACATCGCAGCAAGAAATAAAAAAGAACACGGGAGTCGTTCGATCACATTATTCTATGGTTAATGCAAGAGCATTCAGGAATAAGCATAACCCTAATAGTTACATTTAAAAGATTATCACATCTGTCAGAAGGATTTAGCAGTGCTTAAAAAATATTTTGCTTCAAGCTGTGTGTGGGGGGGGGGATTAGTTTTTGTATACTTAGTAGCATCTCATCCATTCATAATACAAACACGCAACAGAGTGTATATGAAGAAAGAAGTCTGTACTGCAGAATTATGACATACTACAAAATAGCTTTTTCAGCGTAGGTACTGTCTTCTTAATTGCCAGGTACAACAAATAGCACAGCAGTTTCTCATACTGCTGTTTTCTGGACAATGTAATTATATAAACAGTATATAATCTCAGTGTCTTAACCAGTTATAATTACATTCAGTGTCATTCAGTTGTAAACAAAAGCTGAAAGTGCCCAAAGCAACTGACTAGAAAATCTTTACAAACAAAAATTAGATATACATAAAATGAGAATGACTAAACACCCAGAAGCACAGAAGCTAAAAACTACTTTAAAGTAGCTTAAGATAAAAGATGTATGATGCAAAATGGCATCATAAATCCTAGTTATTAGCTACGAATGAGAAAACAAGCAAAGTCATGAAGAAAAAAGAACTGTTTAGCAAGTAAGCATTGCCAAAATAAAGGTCATATTTATGATCATTAAGTCACATGATAATCATTAAGCTCCCCCAATCCAAAGAACTCCACGCACACAAGAAAGTTCTTCCGTTTTAAACATCAAGAACCAGTCAAAAAGTTCACTGACATCAAAGATCATTTATAGGCTTCAGTGGATATTCAAAGAACTGATGTTCCGAGTCAAAAAAACAGTCATCCATCCAAAAAGACTGTGTTCTGCTTTCTTAAGTCACGACAGTTGCTAGGGGGAAGGTGGGAAAGCTATGACTTATGTATCTGTCCAATTAGGTTGAATAAATATTTTAAGAGTTGAATGAAGTTGGAGTAAAAAAATAAATAAATAAAAGAAAACAATGCACAATCCAGTCATTAAGACAACTAGAGTACAAGCTATAAAAATCCTACGTATTTCTTAAACGAACACACAAAAAAACAATACAAGATGTAAAACTCAAATCAATGGTTTAGATCATCTTGATCATTAATACGAGCTATTAAGAGAAGATGGGGAGGGGTTGCTTTTTAAGATGAGGGTAAGAAAAGGTCAAATACCTTCTAATGAATGTTGTTTTCCATCCCATATTCCACTGAGACTTTTTCCAGCAGCTATTTTAGTTCCTTGTGCACTAAAAGCAGCTGTTGTATCTACTACTTCCTTTTCATCATGTACCTTTGAAATCTACAAACATACAGTCAAATATTAATCCTCAGAAGAGAAGAAGCAGGCATATACAGGAAAAAATATCCTTAATAAACTTTGTTAATCTATTTAAAATAGTTGTAAAACAATTTAGAAGATTTCTTCATAATTGTTTAGCCCCCATTGAACTAACTGGAAAACACAATATTCTATTAGTTAAAAACTGCATGCAGCAATTTATATTTTTAAAGGTTAACTCAACTACATACAGCTACAGGCTACTAGAAGAGGACAAACATTCCAACTTGGAACTGTGAGTCTCTAAGATTAGTCTTATATTTTTTATTTCATATAGTTTTGTACACTTGTTGTTTATATTGACAGTTTTTCTATAAGCAGACTCTTACGTTTTTATTCTCTTAACAATCCATTAGAAACTGACTTTTTTGCCCTCTCTGCCATATTGTATTAGTACAAATGGTTTTCCAGAGAACCCTGATCTTATTCTTCACTAGAGGGTTGTCACTTTAACTACTAAGTCTGTCAGCTATCATTGTATACTGTCTACAGCATAACTTTAAAAATTATGAACAAGTAACAATAAATACACATAATAAATAAAATAATATTTTAATTAAAAATTAACTGAAAGACATACAAGTTTATACTGCAGCACTGCATCTCCTGCAACCTCCTGCTGCCTGCTACTTAACCTTACTTATTAAAGGCATCTTCAATTCATGAGTAAGGCTGCAAGACCAAAAGCTTAACCCTGTAGCTTCTAAAAGAAATTGTATTATCTCTGTATCAACGCATACCATATATACCTAGAACACCACAAAAATAAATACTTACCTGGCATTTAACTCTGTTATGTGGTGCCTGTACAGTACAATAGTTTAGAACACCAATGCAGAACTGCCGAGTTTTTGGAAACATACAATTACATAATCTGCCTTCTTTCAACTGAAGCAAGTGTATTCGAACACTACAAAGAGTTTTAGCAGTCCACATTTTCTTAAAAATAACCTCTGGATCCAGATGCTGCAGTAACCAGAGACTCTTGGAAGTTGTTCTACCACGGAGTTATAAAGGAAGCATATAAAGCATCAACAGATGAGCTAGTGGACAACACTGAAGTAATAGAGACTTCTCTTCTAAGCATAACCTGTTTAAAAATATGAGAAAAAATGAGTAGTTGAAAAGTAGTTGCACACTAAGGTCTTGATTCTGTAACAGAAACCTCTTCACAATACTTTCACATAGTTAGCTTTCAAGGACTCACGATTTAAAATATGGATGTTTTGAGATTAATAGTTGATATGACACTGAAATTGAAACAACTCTCAACAGCTTAAAGTATTTAGCATGCACTTTCCTCTTATCATCAACCACCTGGCAATATGCTATCCACCTCCATAAAATTAATTGTTCATTTTGGAAAAAGGAAGTACTAAAATTGTTAATTAATGCAAAGAACAAACGAGCAAAAAAATCCTTATAATTAACAACTTGAACATGCTGTTACTTCTGTCTCAGCTGAAAAATATGCAGGAAGAGTTCAGCTGTCTTCAAACCAAGTGTTCACAAAGTTGCAATGTCAGAGCATAATGAAAAGTCAAGCAGGCTGGCTAGTACAGGCAAACCTTATAATTTTCTACGCTACAAGGCAATCACAGGTGTGACACACAAATCAAACCGTACAACTGATTTACATCTAGCAAGGTTTTGACAGTGAAGTATGAGAGATGAAAATGAACTTGCTCACATGAAAAGAAAAACAAATTATTGCCCTGGCAACTGGGGGGGGGGGGCAGGGAGGAGAGGAGTGTGATTCAGTTTATACAAGGTTTCAGATCACTATCAAATTCAAATTTAATCTCAACCAAATAACTGGGTTTCAGATTTTCTACTTCATCTTCTATGCCATGAGACGTAGCCCACAACACAACTTGGTTTTTTTCTTTTTTGGGAAAATAACCAATATTAATAAGCAAAACACAGCCGAAACTGTGAAACCCAACTTTTTAATACAAGTCAAGCGACAACTTAAATGATCTTAACATAAAGAAACGTCATTGCTTCTTTTAAAATAGTAACAGAAGGGCGATTTTTAAAGCTGGCCACATCCCTTCCAGTTTTAACCTCATAGCCCAAATCATTTCAACGTCCCCGAGCGGTATATTCCCGCCTCAGACCCACACGGGAGTCTAAGACCAGCTACGCGACGGCGACAGCAGCGGCTGGTGCCCCTTCCCGCGCCCTCGC